AAAGAAGAAAATAAAATGATAGAAAAGTGAAAACCGTGAGAAGATGAAGGAAAGAGGTAGAGAGAGAGGCAGAAGGGAGAGGGCAGATAAAAGTAGACAAAGTGAAGGAGAAGAAAAAATAAGGGTAGAGGGAAGAATTGAAATGAGTAGTAGAGAGGAGGAGGGAAAAAAGGAAGAGAGAGGGGAGAAAAGAGGGGAAAAGGAGAGATGGAGAGAATCATAAGAAAGAAAAGAAAATCGGCGGGGTCGCAGCTGCCTCTGGAAGGCACCGAGATGTACCTTTTTGCGCAATGGTCAAATCAAGGTTTTGTAACGCGAGCTGTGCCACAGTGAAATGGAACTAGCCATACGGTCTGCTTGCGAGCGTGTTCTGCACGTTCGTGGCAGTCGCCGTCGCAGCGCCAATAGGCACCGCTCGCCAACAGGTTAGCCATACCGAGGCGGGTCCGTTCGTGAACGCCGCAGGGTCTCAACCCCTGGGCCAGTTGTTGGTGGAATCAAGACCGACGCGCGTGCGCGGGCGATGGACTACGCCAGCAGCTCAAGGGCTTGCTCCCTCCTCACCACCGCGCGCGCGCTGCTGCAGGAGCGCCGCGTGACGCACTGCGGCATGCCGCACTGCGACATGCCGCAGCTGCACCGTTTCCCTCCGGACACCATCGTGAACTCGGTGGCCTGCGAGGACGCGGTCAGCACCGCGCCGGATCTCTCCTGAGAGCCGGCGCGGATCGCGGATGCAGCTTTAAGGCTCTGCCGGCGGGTCCAAAGTGTCCAAAGTGTCCCGGATCGCGTCCAAAGTGTCCCGGCGCGGCGCGCGCCACCGCCCCTGGCGCGGGGCGGGATGTCAGTACGTGAGTACGGTGTCCCTGTCCCTGTGCTCCACCTTGGCTTGAGTCAGGCTTCGGGCCTGGCCTAATCGCTCGCGCGCGGGTGTGCCTGCTTGGCTCAAGCCAAACAACAACAGACACTTATGGCTCTCTGATGCCCAATGCGTGCACTCGTCCCTCACTGTATGTGTGGGTTCGTGTGTGCGGGGTCCCTCCTTGTCTCTGCCTAGACAGTGTGAGGTAACACCTACCTACCTACCTACCTACCTCTGTGTTACTGCATGCGCCGGGGGCAGGGCGCCCACGCCTCGACCTTCTTGGGCAGCAGCTGGTTCGACAGGTCCTCTCCGTGGCCCAGGCAGCCGCCCTCGCCCTCGCCCCACGTGAAGACGGCGCTGTCGGCGGAAAGGGCGAGGCTACGCGTCCACCCAGCCGACACAGCGACGACGCGCTGCTTCGCCAAGGCCTCGACCTTCTTCGGCAGCTGCCGCCGCTGCTCGTCGCCGTGGTCCAGCTTGCCAAAGTTTCAAAGTTTCCATCGCCCCAGCTCCAGACGACGCCGTTGGCGGTGATGGCGAGGCTGTGGCGGGCTCCCGTCGACACAGCGACGACGCGCTGGCCATCAAAAGCTTCTCGATCTTCTTGGGCAGCAGCTGCTGGTGCACGCCGCCGTGGCCCAGCGCCAGCTGACCTCCATGGCCCCAGCTCCAGACGGCGCCGTTGGCGGTGATGGCGAGGCTGTGGAATGTTCCAGCCGACACGGCGATGACACTCCGCCCAGCAAAGGCCTCGACCTTCTTCGGCAGCAGCTGTAGCTGCGTGTCGCCGTGGCCCAACCGGCCGTCGTCTCCACTGCCCCAGCTCCAGACGGCTCCGTCGGCGGTGATGGCGAGGCTATGGCCGTCTCCAGCCGACACAGCGACCACGCGCCGCCCAGCAAAGGCCTCGATCTTCTTTGGTTGCCACTCGTTCAGCTGCCAGTCGCCGTGGCCCAACCTGCCTTCGACCGCCCAGCCCCAGCTCCAGACAGCTCCGTCGGCGGTGAGGGCGAGGCTGTGGGCATCTCCCACTGACACACTCACAGCGCGCTCCTCACCCAGCGTGGAAGGGAGGCGGGTCGGCGTGTTGAGCCGCGTCACGCCCTCGCCGTGGCCAAGGAGGCCTGGAACCTCCTGAAACTCCTCCCAGTCCTCCAAGTCCTCCTCGTCCTCCTCGTCCACTGTGCCGCAGCCGCACGACGAGAGCCGCCCCTCGCTGTCGATGAAGAGGCTGTGGTAGCGGTCTGCCGCCGCCCTCGCCGGTGGGTTGGACTCGCGCAGCCACGCAGCAAAGCACAGCCACCGCACGGCGCAGCCCTCGCCCTCTGGCAGCGCCGGCAGCTCGAAGCCGCGCTCCTGCGCCCACAAGCGGATGCCCTCCAGCACAAGCGAGGCGTGGAAGAGCAGCGAGACGGCCGCGACGCGAGCGATGTCGGCCGAGCGGAGGCCGTGCGGCACGCCCGAGGTATGCATGGCGCACATCGACTCTTTGGCGACCCTTCTAGCGCCTTCTGGGAGCCGTCCCGGAACCTTCTAGGTTGGCATGACCGACATCTACTTTGGAGACCTCTCGCTCATCAACGAGGTGTCCGACACACACACACACACACACACACACACACACACACACACACACACACACACACACACACACACACACACACACACACACACACACACACACACACACACACACACACACACACACACACACACACACCGCTCACCCACGCGCACTGGGCCTTGCACTTTGAATGCCGTGCTAGCTCCTGTCGTCCAGACGTGGAGACGCGAGGGTCGCCCCCCCTTGCCCCACCACCTCGTGTGTGTGGAGAAGTTTACCTTACCTTACCTAGGTGTCCGAGAAGAACATCGTCACCGTGCCGATGCAGCCCGGCGAGGTGCTGCTCTGCGACAACTACCGCGTGCTGCACGGGCGCGACATCTTCGACGGCGACCTCCCCACACCTCCCCACACCTCCCCACACCTTCCCCATACCTCCTCATACCTCCCCATATCTCCCCCCACATCTCCCCACATCTCCCCCCCCATCCCCCCACATCTCCCCACATCTCCCCACATCTCCCCACACCTCCTCATACCTCCCCACATCTCCCCGAGAGCAGGCGACCGCCTGCACGCCGTCTCCTGGTTCGGCGACGAGAAGCTGGAGGACGACAGCGGCCAACAAGCCGGGCGACCTGCTCAACGTCGTGCTCAACTCGGCCTTCTGAGGGGGGCGCAGCCAGCTAGTGGGGGGGCGGTACGCCAAACGCCATGCACATGCAGCATGGGCTCGAGGCCGAGCGTGGAACAGTGTTCTCGGTGAAACACTTGAGTCACTGAGTTTCTCTATCTGTTTCACCGTGAGAGCGGCCGCTAGATAGCGAGTGACGGGCGCTGAGATGGACGGCCGGGCTGGTGGACCTCCCTTCGTTGTGACAGCACACGGACGATTAGAGTCGATACACGCACACGCACAAATTATACACACACGGCACAGTCCACAGCGCCCCCGCGCCGTGACTGTGGCGCGGGCCGTGGCGGTGGCTGCCACCTGCCACCTGCCACGCCCGCCACGCGAGCCGCCGCGCCGCCACCGGGCTCCGGTGGTGGGGAGTCCAGGCTACCTCACACCGCATCGGTCGCCCTCGTGGCGCAGCCACAGCAGCCTCTCTTCCGTGGCACTAAGAGCTCGGACCGAACCCCGCCCAAGCGAAGACCGTCAGAATTGGAGGCTCAGCACACGAACGGCACCAAGTGGTTTGCGGGCCAATTCAATTTGATGTACGACTGCTGAGTGACGATCGCCCGGGCCGAGATCACGGTGGGGTAGAGCCAACCCCGCGAACACGAGCAGCGCGTTGATTTGCGAGGGAGCGGCATCCTCGTACGTCGAGACCCTCTCGTCTCTTGGAGCCGCTCTCTCTCTCTCTCTCTCTCTTTCTCTCTCTCTCTCTCTCTCTCTCTCTCTCTCTCTCTCTCTCTGTGTGTGTGTGTGTGTGTGTGTGTGTGTGTGTGGTGTGTGTGTGTGTGTGTGTGTGTGTGTGTGTGTGTGTGTGTGTGTGTGTGTGTGTGTGTGTGTGTGTGTGTGTGTGTGTGTGTGTACGGACAAGAATGAGGTGTGAGTGGTAGAGTGGTTTAGTATTGCTAAAAATCTAGGAGCGAAAAAAGAATTCTCGGGGTTTCTTCTTCCAGCGCAATCCAGTGTGCACACAGGATACTCGTATGAGCGGCGACATCCGCCCACTCCTCGCCGACCTGGCTCAGGGCGACCTGGCCTCGCTTCTCGCCCTCCTCTCCGGGCTGACGCGCGGCACGTCGCTCGCGGCTCAGCTCGACGCGCGGCTCGACACCGAGAGGCAGGACACGCTGCTCACCTGGGCCGCTCGGCACGGGCAGGCCGAGGCTGTCCGGCTGCTGCTCGAAGGCGGCGCGAGCGTCGGGGCGGCTGAAAGCGATGGTGCTTCCGCTCTCCTCCTCGCGTGCGCTGGGGGCTACCTCGAGATCGTTCGGCTGCTCCTCGAGACTGGCGCGGCGGTCAACCAAGCAGATGCTAGAGGCTTCACGCCGCTGTACGCTGCCTCCCAGCACGGTCACCTCGAGTGCGTCCGGCTGCTCCTCGAGACTAGCGCGGCGGTCAATCAAGCAGATGCTGGAGGCTTCACGCCGCTGTACATGGCGTGCCAGAACGGTCACCCCGAGTGCGCCCGGCTGCTCCTCGAGGCTGGCGCGGCGGTCAACCAAGCCGCGGATGGTGGCGCCACGCCGCTGCTCATGGCGTGCCAGGAAGGGCAGATCAAGTGCGTCCGGCTGCTTCTCGAGGCGGGCGCGGCGGTCGACCAAGTTGCTGCTGAAGGCGTCACGCCGCTGTTCGCCGCGTGCCACTTCGGCCACCTCGAGGTCGCCAAGCTCCTCTCCTCCTACGGCGCCTCCCGCGCCGCTACGCCCTTTGGCGCGCCCGAGGAGGCCGCAAACAGCCGCGGCCACGCCGACCTCGCCGCCTGGCTGGTCGCCAGCCGCGGTTGGACGCCGCTCCAGCACCTCGAGGCGTGCCCGAGACTAGCGGCCGAAGGCGTGAGCGCGTGTTGTCCTGATGCCCATTGCACCTCTTCTGCAGGCGCTCACCGTCGAGCGGGCGCGGGCGCTGCTGCGCGGCGGCGCGGACTCTTCAGCCGGCGAGCCTTCGGCCCTCAAGCGGGCGCGCGTCCTCTGCGCGTGGGGCGAGTCGGATCCGACCGCTGCGGCCGTCGGCTCCACAGTCGCGATCCACTCTCTCGTCTCGCGGCCCTCGATGAACGGCAAGGTCGGCGTCGTCGTGGATTAGATC